CTTGAACCTTTGAATTCTGCTACCAGAGAGTTAAAAAAGAACTTCCAACGAATAAGTTCACTAAATCGCAGCAGCACGCGCCGCATCTGCGTGTAACGGACATAGCGAGATCCACTGGAGGCAGGAGACGGTTGCAAGGTCACCTCACACCTTGAACTGGCGGGGTAGCCTTGTGAGCAGCTCTGAGGGTGTGGTTCAAGCCCTTAGGGCTCCGCCTAACAGAGTCCGGCAGCCCCCAAAAAACTACAAATGACTATGTCTCCATATTTATGACTACATTACAGAACTATTAATACGCCATCAGGAAAAAACGGAACCCGGAAATCTAGTACGTACGAATGTAAAGCAGCGTGCAAACACGCGACCGTTCTGAATTTTGGAAACACATGCACTCCTTTCTGCGGTCACAGAAACCTAAAATTTGGGTTACAGATTTAAAAAATACTAGATTTATTTTCATTATTGGCACCATACAATAAATCCAAGAACACATAGGCCTATTTGTGTTGAATATATAGCTCAGTCAATACAGTGACCATACTATGGACTAAACCAGCGAGGAATCACAGTTTGATTCCCGTCACAGACAAGGGATTATTCTCCTCTTCATAGCGTCAAGACCGACGGCGATGCCCGCCCGGGACACCGGCGGAAAGCGACGAGCCCGTGTGACCACTCACCTGCATCTGGAGCTGAGGATAAGAATGGTGGAGGTACATCTCCACTCACGTCTTCATAGTGTGGGGCTTAGTTAACCATAGGAACAGCCATACATTTAAATTCACTAAAAAAGTGGTCGTTACTAACCCCAGACATGGTTGTTTCCCATGTCAGTATCACAACATATAAGGTAGAGCTATCCGTGTAAGAGCTCGTGGAGGCCCATAGGGTTGTGAGACGTCGAGGCTCCCACATTTGCTAGAAAATTGGGTCACAGATGGCGCTGAGGTTGTCAGCCTTACGCGCCGACCGTCCTTTAACCCCCAGGAAGATTCCTGGTACTCATTTCTGTTATAGGATGAGTCGACCCCAGGGTTATAGTGCGGTTAGAAGGATTAGGTCTATTGAAAAATCGAATGATCTCATTGAGAATCGAAGCCGAGACCTTCCGGCTTGTAGCATAGTCCTTCAAGCAACTACGCTACAGCGTGCCCCAACATAAAGCAAGAGTGACTCTGACTGAGAAACTGAGGCGTATGTTACGCCCTTGGGTGCGAGTGGTAAAGGCGAAGGACGTTAATTTAAGGGGATGTGACAGCTACTACTACCATGCCGTAAGGTTGTCCCTGTGCTTAACTAAGCACACCATGAAGGTGTATGGGGGAGTGGAGGTATAGATCCACATTTTCTTGACCACGGCACTAGTTGGAGTTGAGTGGTCAGCTTCACGCCCCTGCCGCGTAATCCCCAGGGAAACAGCCCCCGACACACATTTATAGCCTTGAAATTATAATTTATACCATCACGAAATGAATGGGATTGCCTATTGGTCAATGAAATCAATCAAGATTGTTTCTCTAGTTGCCTGCGAACAAAGAGCCGGTTACCGATATAGTGATGCGCATCTCAGTGACATTGCTTGGCAACGCACTGTTAGGCATACTGTGCTGCCATCTGTGAACTACCTGCTGTAAATACAGCAGCGATGAGGATGGCGCAAGCGTCAGCCTAGTCGATTAGAAGGTTAACTGTATACCGCTCTCCGCAATTCCCTTGTGAAAGTACAATTAACCCTCTAGAGACCGAACTTCTTCCAAATAATATAGCAATTCAGTTCGTACCTCACAGGAAGCACATTACGTCTCCGCTACAAAGCCCAACCGGTTAATGCTGTTTAGGGAAACAGTCGCTGTTTACTGTGAGAACCATACGGAACACATAAATACACTGTGTTGGCAGAATATATAGCAATTCAGCCCGTACCTCACAGGAAACACATTACGTCTCCGCTACAAAGCCCAACCGGTTAATGCTGTTTAGGGAAACAGTCGCTGTTTACTGTGAGAACCATACGGAACACATAAATACACTGTGTTGGCAGAATATATAGCAATTCAGCCCGTACCTCACAGGAAACACATTACGTCTCCGCTACAAAGCCCAACCGGTTAATGCTGTTTAGGGAAACAGTCGCTGTTTATTGTGAGAACCATACGGAACACACAAATACAAAAGAAGCTGGACTTTTACGGCGAGAATTTATTGCCTTTATCCAACAGGCAATCTGGAGGACAACCCACTCTCGACTGTCTGCAACTGTTTATATAATACAGCCGCAGCTACTCTTCACATCTAGAGGGCGTTTCCCTTCCATCCCGCAGATCGCGGATTCTTGCGAACACGATAATGAAACTCCGGGTTCCATAAAATGCTAAGAATTTCTTGAATAGATAAGCAACTGTTGGTTTCTCAAGAAGGATTCGGCTCTATATAGTTAGCGTCTTTTTTTTTAAATTCCATGGACACTTATAAGAAACGAGTAAGAACCGTTAAAGCAACGAGCATGGTCAGAGAGAGATATGAGGCCCTCGACATGGGGCATATGTCCGTCTAGGGTCACTACGTCCCTGTGTCCGGGATCTACTACTCTTGGTGGCAACAAGGTCACTATGGGTGGAGTCACAGTATAAAGAGGGCTCTGGACCCAAACCCACAACATATCAATCTGCAGTTCAGCGAGACACACATCAACATGTTCAAGCTCGTAAGTGTATTAGTGTTTTCATATGTTAGTGCTGCCGTTACTTTCTTTCTCTTAGAAATATATTTACCGGTGCTCTCGATGTGGAAACACGAAATGCACCGGCAGATCTGAAACTTTCAATTTTTCACTTGTTTTCCGGTACGTGTACAGGCTAAAAAAAAAAAATCGGTGTCAGTGTAATCAAAAAGTGAAACAGAGGAATTAACCTCAGAGTAATGAAACAGCTGGTCTGTGCGGGACACGAGTGCAAGCCTATGGCTTAGTCTTCAAGTAATGTCAACTGCCATAACGGAACTCCACAGAGAAATTAGGGTCAACAAGGACGTACAAGCAGACCGTTGACATGATCAATTGTAAAACATGCATAATTTTCGATAAATTAACATTTTAAACAATTTCTATAGCTACAGAAAATTATTTGGGGGCACGCGGTAGCGTAGTGGTTGAGGGGCTACGCTACAAGCCGGAAGGTCACGGTTTCAAGTCCCGATGAGGTCATTGGTTTTTTTTCAGTTGACCTAATCCTTCCAGCCGCACTATGGCCCTGGGGTTTACTCAGCCTCTAACAGAAATGAGTACCAGGAATTAATTAAATAATTTTCCTGGGGAGTGGCTGACAACCTTACCGCCATCTTTGAGCCGATTGTCTAGATAATGTGGGAGCCTCAACGTCTCACAACCCTATGGGCCTTCATGGCCTGGTACAGGGATAGCTTTACTTTACTTACAGAAAATTACTTATTTCGTCAGGGCAATATTTTATGTAGAAAGCAGTCTTCTGGGATTTGGCACCGTGTATATGTGGTGTTAACCGACGTTTCGGAGGAACGTATCGCCCCCATCTTCAGGGTAGAAGAAAAAGTATAAGAAATCTGCAAGCGACAACACCGTGAGAAACGGTAAAGCAGAGAAGACTGCTTTCTTCATAGTCACCGCCGTGAAAGCCTCAAATCTTACAATATTTTATGTGTCGCAACAATGTCTGAGCGGTCGTTAAATTTGTGTATGCTCTAACAGTGATTTATACTGACGGAATTTATCGTATAGAGTGGGGACACGCGGTAGAGTAGTTGGTTGAGGCATTAATCTACAACCAGGAAGGTCGTGGGTTCGATTCCCGATCAAGTCATTGCATTTTCCAATTGACCTAATCCTTCCAGCCGCCTTATGGTCCTGGGGTCGACTCAGCCTCTTACAGAAATGAGTATCAGGAATCTTCTTGGGGGTAAAGGACGGCCATCCGGTGCGTATGGCTCACAACCTCACCGCCATCTGTGAGTCGATTGTCTAGAAGATGTGAGAGCCTCGACAGCTAACAATCCTATCGGTCTCCACATCCTGTTACAGGGTTAGCTTTACATTTTGTTATCATATAGTGTNGGGGGGTCTCTACTGATCTGGAGAGTCTATCTACTTCTGAAAAGCAATTTCCACCCCCTGAGCATGACCAACTGCATAGAACACAAAAATACACTTAGACCTGTTGGAAAATCATTTCTAACTCTTGAAAACACGACCATACCCCCCAAAAAACAAGAAATTCTGGAATGAACTAGCCGCCAACTCTCCGAATTGAGCCTGAGTCTGGGTCCTATGTTACGACCGACGGTCAGTCAGCCAGTTTATCTGGGAATAAAGCGTCCATCTGGGGCTTACGACCAGATTTTTATTACTGTCAGACAGTTGGGGGTTTGTTGATTTGGGCTCCCTCTCTGAAGAGAAAATAGGTCTGTCGTTTACAATTCCTCCTGGCCCTCGTCAGCGCAGTCATTCTCGGGTCCGAGCGCCTTGGGACTCGCGACCATATTTTACTGTCTCAGATTAGAGACGTCCCTTTTCGTCGCCTTCTACGACTTGCAGGGCTATGGTGGAGGTATTCGACCCCGCCTCCACACGGCAACCGCCAATTCTCCTTTCACTACATATTGAGTATATGACACGAAACGGACCGCACAGAAAACACCGCGTCCAACAGTGTATTCGTTTCTTGCTACATTTACATAAATTATAATGCAATGTTTACATTTTTTGGTCACACTTTAATCCAGAATGTGAAATTTAGCTCCTTTCCAGAACAAATATGACAATAAATGCCGCATTATATATATATATATATGGGTTCAAATATACTGTGCGTACTTTGTCACACAAGAATGACCTTCGATACGTTACCTTGAAAACAAAATCGATTGCTATTCGATAGACCATTTCTGGATGCTGAATATACAAGCCAGGACATGTGCTCGTTGTAACATCATTTGGGCCCTTCGTGCGCGTATTTATTCTCCTCAGCACAACACTTACGCGGTTTAATTTACGGGGATGACCTCCACTTACTCACTCATGGAGATGAGCCCTTCTTGAGGAGCTGCCAGTTGTGCAGCTACTCAACAATTTCCCAGCATTTTATGGAACCCAAAGGTTCATTGCCGTGTTCAAAAGAGCCCTTCACTGGTACCTATCCCGAGCCAGACCAATCCAATCCATACCATCCCATCCTATCTCTCTAAGATCCATTTTAATATTGTCCACCAAACCTACGCCTTGGTCTTCCCAGTGGTCTCTTTCCTTCTGGTTTTCCCACCAGTATCCTATATGCATTCGTCGTGGATGACCTCCACACATTACTGAACTTTAATCAAAACTGAGCCGTTTTCGAGAGAAATACCGCTTTGTATCTGAGATCCATTTGAGGGCCCCGTTTTTGAATCTACAATATCCATATTCTTCGGGCACGCACCTATGGCGGATAGCCTCTTAAACATCGAATACCAATAACATCCGCCCAACCGACCTCACGCTAGCAAGGGACGTATACATACATAGGTACAGCCGGACGTTATTCCAAAAATCGCTTTTTTTATTAATGGGGTGCTTAAAAAGAGTAAATCCGTCAAAATGTGATCCACTTCTTCACGACCACAAGACATTCTTACACAGGGTGTTCCAGGAGGAAAGGTCAATATTCTGGGAGGTCATATTATCGGGCATTCTAAGCAAAAAAAAAAAGTGTATGTACATTTGTTCTATATCGAACGGTTTCCGAGATACAGCTATTTCACTGTACAGACACAAAACTGTTGATAAGAAAGAGATATTACGTACTGTTTCTAATACCGGTATTTATTGTCCAAGTGACAAAGTTGGTACAGTTTATCTAGTGTAATACATTTGAGAAAATTCCACCGTCAACATCAATGCACTTTGCAGCTCGTGTGAGGACACGGCGTGTTGCTCGTCTGTACAGTGTACAGTGTACTGCACAGTGAAATAGCTCTATCTCGGTGCAACTCGTGAGGACATGGCGTGTTGCCCGTCTGTACAGTGTACAGTGTACTGCACAGTGAAATAGCTCTATCTGGAAAACCGTTCAGAATAGGACACATGTACATGTACACATTTTTGCTTAGAATGACCGATACTGTGACCTCCAGAGTATTGACCTTCCTTCCTGGGACATCCTGTATATACGACGCATATAAGAAAGTAAAAAGATGTGAAAATTCACATGATTCACAATTAACCGAACCCGCTTTGTTTTCAGGTCGCATTCGCCGCCATGTTGGCCATTGCTGCGGCCGCCCCCAGGCCCGGACTCATCGCCGCCCCCGCCGTAACAGCGTATGCCGCCGCCCCCGCTGTGGCAACCATTGCAGCACCTGCTGTGGCGGTGAGCAGTGTCCCAGTTGTTAGCACTGGTTATCATGTTGCCTACAGTGTGGAGCCAGTGGAGCAACACGGTTACAAGATCGTCTACTAGATGTCACCACCAACTTCACGCGAATCGTACCCACGCAGATACACGATATATCGACCTTGGTGTCCTGCTTCGAGTACACTACGTACACACACACACACACTCCGAACGTAATAAAGGGACTTATTTGTTACATTCCATTAAGCTGTCCACCAAAATTACTGTAATGTGCGTTAAATAAAATAAAGGAACACACACACTTCATCTATCGACATTATTCATGAACAGTACTATCTTGTGTGATGTGGCACCGTGCAGATAACCAAGCTTTCGTAGGAACATACTGCATCCATCTTCTATATCGAAAAGGCAAGAAACCAGCAAGACGCAGGAAGCAAACAGAGCGATCCGCCTGCTTCTACTGCTTTCTTGCTTCGACTAATCTATCCTGAAGATGGAGGCAATATTTTTACCCGAAATATCAGATTATCTCCCAGCTACACGGCGTTACAACTTACGAGACCGCAGTCTTCATATTCATCGCTGTGAGAATTTCTAATCCAAAATATAAAACTTGCTTGAATGAGACACCGAGATCGGACTGACGTAGTTCTGCACAGTTGTAGAGAGGGCGCTGTTACCTGAGACTATTCTGCACAAAAATATTTGATGCTCTCAGGAGCAGTTTCCCCGGTGGTAAAGCATCGGAGATGTGATGCTGACCATTCACCTCCATATAGTATACAGGCTGAGAACACATGGAGGATGGAAATATACCTCCATTTCCCATACGTCTTCATGACGCAGTGCTTAATTAGCAAACGGACTCCTACTTACTTATGGACCTGAGCCCTTCTTGACAAGAAGCCAAATCAGCAATACATTCTATGGAACCCGAAGGTTCATTGTCGTGTTTTTAAGAGCCCTCCACTGGACGCCATCCTTAGCCAAATCAATCCAATCCATACCATCCTATGTCTCTAAGATCCATTTTAATATTGTCCACCCACCTACCCCTTGGTCTTCCCAGTGGTCTCCTTCCTTCCGGCTTCCCCACCAATATCCTATATGCATTCCTCGTATCCCCCATTCGTGCTACATTCCCTGCCCACCTCATCCTCCTTGACTTGATCATTCTAATTATAGCACACGGACTCTACGTTTATTATTCAAGCAGGACTTGAGGGTGTGGGTGTGGTGGAGTTTGGTAATTAATGACGAACTGGACAGGATTTGGAAGAGAACGACAATGGCATAAATCGAGGTAATACTCCGTTATTTGCCTGGGGTAACTGAGGAAAACCATAAAATTTTCAATCAGAAAAGCAAGAGTACATGCCTACATTCGAAACGACTGCCTCCAGAATACGAATCTAGAGAATTACAGCTGTCGACGCATTCTGAATGGACTGAGGAAAATCGTGAAAAACCTAATCTCAGAATAAATTGGTCTCAGCGCCGAGTTTCGAACCCGGGAAGTCTGGAATGTGAACCACGCTTGTTAGCCACTGGAACATGATGTTCGGTCATTTGTCTCGAGCAAAGGTTGTCAACCTTTGTCAGCCCGCGTCCCGGTACCGGACCGCAGGCCGGCGGTTGATAAACCCTTGTCTGGAGGGACTGCGGTAAAATCACGAAATTCTGTCAGGATAACAGATCTCCCGGTTGAAATTCGAGTGGGACGCGTTACCACTGATGACAGATTAAAAAGCTGATGAACTAACCGAGTAATCAAGTCTATGGAGCTGAGTTCACTTAAATAAATTCCCAGCATGTCATGCAACCGGTAAGTATCATTACCGTTCACACAACAGCAAAAAAATGGTCCGTATCCTGAGCCAGATGAATCCAGTTCAGACTATCCTATACTTTTTTCTCTTTCAGATGCATTTTAATATTATTCTCCCATCTATGCCCTAGTCATGTCTTTCCATCAGGTTTCCCACAAGAAGTCTCTAGAGATTAACTAACGCCCGGCATTTGTCTGGCTGGTGCGGTTACACGACGAGCGGTCTGCGTCAGTGAAAGTGACGCGGGGATTCCCCTGCTGGAGCTCGCGCACTTTCGCTTGCCCTGCTTTCGTCTGCACGGAGATCCGTTATGATAGCGATCATCAAGCGCCACGCCAGAAATGACAGGGAAATACGTCATTGCGCAATCACCATTCTGTACACGCGTTGCTATCGTTACACATCAATACGTTTTTAACGTTTCACTCTCGCAGATGGTTAATGTATCCTGCCTTGTTTTGGTGTGGTGATCTGTTCCAAGGCAGATTAGCCGACTGGCCGTGAGTCTAACATAGGACTCAGACTCAGGTGTCCGGAAATAAGGACTAGCGCGCTATCCAATGGGCGCAGCTGAGCAGTTCCCACCTTCAGACAGAAACAGAATCCAGTTTCCGAAACGTGTGTGTGTTTTAAATAAGAACAGGACGATTGATATATCCATAAACACAATAATTATATTACCGTCACAAACTTTTAGATTCTATTTACGTTTAGGCAGAGGGGGGCACGCGGTAGCGCAGTTGGTTGAGGCACTATGCTACAAGCCGGAAGGTCGTGGGTTCGATTCTCGATGAGGTCATTGGATTATTTGATTGACCTAATCCTTCCAGCCGCACAATGGCCCTGAGTTCGACTCAGCATCTAACAGAAATGAGTACCTGGAATCTTCCTGGGGGTAAAGGGCGGCCGACCGGCGCGTAAGGCTGACCTCACCGCCATCTGTGAGCCACTTGTCTAGAAAAAGTGTGAGCCTCGACGTCTCACGGCCTGTTACAGGGATAGATTTACCTCTGGCCTTACCTTTATGTTTAGGACCACGCCCCGTGTGTCTTTACCTTGACTAAAATAGACAGCACTACTCCAGCACAGAGCAGAGGTTGTAACACTGCAGTCCGTGAGAACCCTACTTCTTCCTCACTCTATCCAACCAATGAGCGTGGACGTCTCTCGGTATAGCGACTAGGCTACGGGCTGGACTATCTAGGAGTCGGGAATCGATCCCAGGTAACGGCAACAGACTTGTCTCCACAAGGGCCAGACCGGTTCTCAGGCCCACCTGCCTGCTACCCATTGGCGAGCAGGAGTTTTGCTAAGGGAGTAATGCGGCCAGGACATGAAGCTCACCACTCACCTCCACCTAGTTCCGAGGTGTAGTTGCGTGCGAAGGCCTGACGTTTCGGAGAAACATACCACCTCTATCTTCAGGGTCGAAGAGTTAACCAAGCAAGGAACCAACTTGCCGCCTGTTTCTGATGGTTTCTTGCCTGACTTACTCTTCCATCATGAAGATATGTTCCTCCCCTCGCTAATCCGGATTAATTGGGGAGGGGAAAAGACGTCATACGGATTAATGAAGGAAAAAGTAGCCCTAAAAGACAAAAAAAAAAATATATAACAGAAATAAATGAAAAATCTAAAATGTAAGTAGAGCTGATGAAAACAAATAACAACATATCAGTGTAGTAACTTCATTTAAAAACTACAAAAAGACAGTACATTTATTCATCGAGAGAAGACTCAGAAGTTGCACTTGTTTCTGAACGTAACAATGCAGGTTTGAAGAGACTGTCTCAAGTTTGTCTGAACAGACAAGTGACTCATCTGCCTTCCTAAATATCATGTGTCCTTTTTAAAGTATGTATTCAACTGTGAGAAGAAATTTTCATATTTCGACCCGGATTCGGGAGGGTTTACTGTGTCACGTTCTCTCCAAACTACACGGCGTCACACTCTACAGTCACCACCGTGACGAGCTCGTGCCCAACATACCTTACCCTTACTTTCCAACCGTGGCCTTGAGACAAAGTAAACGTTGTTTTCCTTTTGTACACCGTGGCTTTAACCCTTTGTAAAATCCTAAGACAACATCCTCCAGTGGCGGGTCTGGGCTTACGGCTGCAGAGGTCAGAAACACGAAAACGAGAGGTTAGCCATCCAACGGTCGCCAAGTTCCATACCGTGGCTTTCTGCTTCGTATGACCCATTCCTCAGACGTTTCAGATGACCTCTATATTGCCTTCAGAATGCTCCTCCGGAAAGGTTGGTACCCGTGTACCAGGCAGCACTGTATAACCAAGAACACCATTTAAAACGTCTCAATATCAGAGTCACACCCTCAGTAGCTAACCTGACGGAATAAAAATCAACGGGACCTCATTATAAGTTTAAAATAATAAGTGATCTTGCCCGAACGGAATGCCGAATGCTAAACGGCCTACCCATCTCACTATCAGTTAATCACCGAGCCGGTTGGCGCAGCGGTAAAGCTCCTGACTCGTATTCGGAGGAACCCCGTTCGACTTTCGGCCGGGACAGGGGCAATCCTGATGTGTGTTCCGCGATCTTCATCAGGTCTTCCCGAAAAATTCTGGGATAGTACCACGATTAGGTAACGACCAATTCCTTTCGAATCCCTTCTAATTCATCCATGTATATATCGTCCTACCACTCCACGTTATACAGTTAAGATACCGACAGCTCCATCCCGTTATCGGCAACGGCTACTTGACTCGATCATACTTTTTACGTCATACGAGCTTTTGTGTATGTCTCGCACTTGAAAGTGTTACGTAGCCGAAGAATAGATGTCTCGTTGTTCACACTGTCACGTGGAGTAACTACAGACGGGGTTTGTATTGGTAACTGGATTTATTGGACTTTTCAGAACATAACTACAAATAACTACGGCAGTCTCACTTAGTTACACACTCCTAACTTCACTGTAACTACAGCACATATAAAGTCACACACAAGCCGTTGGGTGGTAGCGGCTTTCAACATCGGACGCTCCCCTTACTGTGGGTGCCCCAAGTGTCCCCGGCCTCAGCTACCAGCTTCTCACTTCTCATAACTTCAACTCTCACCTTTCCATTATTGTGTGTCCCCTCGTTGCCGGGGAAACGTGTCCACAGAGCGGTTGCCTAGCAACCTGTTTATGGAGCGGTTACTTGGCAATGAGCCGGAGCTGTTGCCAGAACGCCACTGAGCACCTCCCTGGCTGGGTGCAAACATCTGAAGGCGAGAAGCTGAAAGGTCGAGCACCTGTCTGCCCCTAACCAACACGTCAACAGGTAGCCCGGGGGGAGGGGGGGAGAATGTGGACGTAAAGCAGAAGATGTGCAGGAAGGGGGGAAGAAAAATAGATGTTACGACATTAAGGTTGGGAAGACGTATGGGGGAGTCGATATATAGATCCACGTTTTCTTGACTTCGGAACTAGATGGAAGTGAATGGTAAACTTCACGTCCCGAAAGA